TTTTTTTTTTATAATTATTGTTTATTTTTTTATTATATAACCAGTTCGACCAGTGACCCAACAGTTGAACCAATGACTCATTGACTCGGTTCCTCTATCGGGTTGATGTCCAGACCAGGTTTTAAAACTATTCTTGGCGCATTTAACAAACTCAAACATGAAAGGGGAAGAAATGGGCCCTTTGCCACGTGATGTCTGTATGAGGAATCAAAATTTAATGGGCCCTTATTTTATAGTTTGGATAAATTATATAGACACTCTCTAACATTTTAATTTATTACATAGATATCACCTCACTTTCATAAATGACACTCGGAACCCAATGCCATTAGAATGGAAACGTTGCTAACAGAAAGCAGAAAATGACAATTTTACTCTGCATTTTTTACTAGAAAAAATTTGATAATTCAATTCAAATTTGAAATGACTTTAATAACCCTGTAAAATATCTATGTTCTAAACTCAACCCTAATACCCCATTCATCATATCTAATAGAAGAGAGAAGGCATAAGAGGACCCAATTCGTCATTGACAGAAGACAGAACCGATTCAACCTAGATCTGGATCTATGTCTTTCTTATGCAATTTATGGTTGATTCAACCACAAATTGTGCATATGCATCCTGATTTTTATAGAAACTCTAACCCTAATCCCCATCGCTTTTATTTGCTCCNCAAATTGTGCATATGCATCCTGATTTTTATAGAAACTCTAACCCTAATCCCCATCGCTTTTATTTGCTCCTAAAACCATATACCTAAGCCACTTTAACGATTTCTGAACCTAGGTCAAACAAACCTTTAACCTAACCAAGATTTGGATTTGACTCTTCATCTTCATCACGAATCATCTCGTTTAAAGCATCTTGGATCTGGATTTGACTCTTCATGTTAGTCACAAATTTGATCTTTTTTGTTTATTTAAAGGATTTGTTTGAGTTACCCAGTAAAAGACATTTTTGGATTTTTTTCTACAAAAAATGGATGAGGAGGTGCATGACATTGTTGTTCATTTTAAGCATTCATCATTAATGGGGTCGACCTTCATAGGTATTGTTCTATGGATATGGTGACAAATGTTGCAGAAGTTACAGATGTGTTTGTATGGGTGATAGTGTAGCGAAGGTAATGATTATTGTTATAGTTGATTGGCCAGATCATAGGGGAAAACTTGTACTTGATGACAATAAAANAGAAGAAATAGAGGGTCAACATGAAAAATCTTTTGGGTTACTACCGGCATATGTTAGGGAAGTAAGGAGGAGTAACCATGGTAGCGTTATTAAACTTGATTATTTCAAGGCATCTGTAAGTGATAACCCATTGTTCAAGAGAATCTTCATTTCTTTTGTTGCACTAAAAAATGATTTTAGCGCAGGTTGCAGAACTTTTATTAGGGTTGGAGGTTGTCACTAGAAAGCTGAATTTGGTGAAGTTTTTGTGGCTACAGTGGCTCTTGATGGGAATAAGGTTTGTTTCTAAAGACATATGGAGTTATTGATCAAAGTGAAAGGACAGAAAGTTGTCACAAACAATATTAGACGGAAACTGAATGAGGTGGTAAAGAAAAACATGCATTGTAATGTCCTTTGGGATGGAAACTTGGAGTTCAATATTTGACATAAGGAGACAACGTACCCTGTAAATTTAACCACTAAGGAATGTGCTTGCAAAGAATAACAAATTACTAGGGTTCCCTATATTCATGTAGAAGCAACAACAATAAGTTCTCAAAGGAAAATATTGAGATGTTTTACGACATTTATTTCACAAAAGAAAAATATTTGTTGGCTTATGGCGATATCGTACATCCAATTCTTGATCATAAGATGTGGGCTCCAACTGTAGAAACTCTCCAATCATCACCTTTATGCAAGATACGTGGAAGGCCTCGAAACAATCGAAGAAGACTTGCAGATGAACCAATAGCTGGCAGAAGTGAAATGAGAAGGTCATAGAGAATTAGTTGGCAAATTTGCAAGCAACTATGTCACAACAAACTAACTTGCCAAAGAGTACCTGTCAAAGGAAAGGATGAAACTCAAATAATTTTCAATTATGCCCATACCAAATGAAAATTTTGTACCAATAATTTATGATTTTTATGTATTATTTGGGTGTAGCAAACTGTAACAACACCACAATCACAACAAGGCTTTGAAACTGGTGAATCTAGAATTTCTATGTAATAGCAAAGAAGTGATTATCCTATTGGGGGAAGTGGGGGCAGACACTCAGGGCATTGGTCTAGATGTAAATGGAAGCTGACTTCTTCTGGTATTGACTTGTGAATGAATTTTTTTTGGATGACATTTTGGATATTTTAGTGCCACAGAATTTGAACACATTTGTGTAGTATATTATGTACAAATTTGTGCAAGATAATGGTTTTTTGAGATTCTGATGCCTTTTTGAGCAGTAAATTATGTACACAATCAACTATGGTTAACATGTTTTGAAGCCATTACATAGTTAGCATAATTCCAAAAGCCACTACATATTTCATATCTTCATTTGAACTCATTACATATTCAGCATAACTCCAAAAACATATTCAGAAAATTAACACTGCCTACATACTAGGTAAATACAACGTGACATAATAGATACAACTAGGTATCACCACTGGAATTTCTAGCTCTTACTCATAGAGAGGACCATAACAAATAGTTGCATCACAAACACAACACTTCAAACGAGGGCCTTCAAAAGTGCATGGGTGTCCTGAGCGATCTTTCAAATGTGGAGAAGCTAGCAAAATTTGGACTCCTTTGCATTGGACCATATCCATGTTCAGCACATGGAGACATCATAGTCAATTGGGGATGACAAGAAGCCAAGAACTTGCACGATCCCCGTCATAATTGAAATACAATTCCCTTTAGTTGGCTTCTCGGCTCCTACTATCCTAATTGCAGCTTTCTTCCCACAAAAGTATTGTGTTTCGGCAAACCTTAAATCCAACATCTCATGTCCTTCTCCGTTCACAACTCCAAATCTACAACTTCTAGAAGATGACATGTTTGTGGATATAGTCACTACATACAACAAAAACCAAGTCATATTATTTCACTGACAAACACACCCCTTGCATCTTTACATAACAACATAAACACCCGCTAATAACTCCTGCTATAACAGTGAGACTCCATCCATACCTAACACAGACAACACACACACACACACACATATATGTTTCTATATATATTTATAGGTGTACATAAAAAGAGAGATGGAGAGAGAGATAAAGACTTAGAGAGATATGGAGGAAGACAAAAAAAGAAAAGGAAGCCATACCTGCCGAGAGAGAATGTCAGAGAGAAGATTAGAAGCAACTCTGAAGATGGAGTTTTTAAAGTAAAGGGAAAGGGTATAATTGACATTCCAATAACACTTTGAAGTATATTCTAGAGTTTGACTTTCACTGTATGGGAGCATTGTTGGAATTATAATAGAATTTTTTGTTGATGTCAGCATATTCTGCAAACATGTCTAACGTCGGTCAAGTATAAGGTCTAGATATAACAAATTTCAAATGTGAAGAGGTCCGAGGGTCATTTGTGAAATGTGAGGGGGTATCCATGTAATAAATCAAAATGGTAGGGGTGTTCATGTAATTTACCCTATTAGTTAATAAATGATTAAAATTTGTGTAAACCAAAATCTATTTTATTAGCCATATCCTACTTTTTGATAACAAAAAATATTAGACTATGGAATCGAAATTGTATTTTTTTTTCTAGTATAGTTGTTTATTTGATCAAGCATATTGTGATACATAGAAATTTTAATCATTTACTATATTTATTATTTATAAATATAAATAATTTAAAATATTTCACACTAATGGGAATTATTTTTTGATATAATACTTAAAAATTAATTGTACATATCTATCACATATAGGAGGAATATCCAATGCATGACGCTTTTCTTTGCAAAATTTCATAAATTACTATTTGATAAAAAAAAGTTGGTATCTATATCATTATTGATAATAATGATACTGATACTACCAACATTGTTCTTTTTTTTAATTTTTTTTCTTTTTGATTATTCATATGATGTAACATGTTTTCTTGGCTCACAAGTTATATCCATAAAGAGGAATATACCCATGAGGGTTTTCCTTTGTTATCTACAAGTAGAAAGAGAACGGATTGTCTTTTCTAAAGAGAGAAAAGGAACAGTCACTTAACTTTTCTAGAAAACAGTAATGCACTGATAGGTACTAGGTACCCAAACACAACGTAACCATGGTTTACCTTGATTTTCGTCGTGATGCTTTATAATAATGCTTATTGCCATCAGAACCCAGAAGAGAAGTCTGAATCAACACGAAAAAAACACCTCATTATCGGGGCGATTGCCATTATAAGCAAGTGAAATGCTTGTTTAGGGCTTTCAGAAAATGAAGATCTCAAATTATATATTTTTATTTTTATAATATGGGTTAATTTGGCTTAAGAATATTATAGAATAAGAGTTTAAAAGATATAAAATATAATTCTCTCTCCTCTATTTTATTAAATTTTTACACTCACCTAAAAGATCATACATTCTCTCTTTATTTGTTGCCAATCCAATCACTCTCCATAAGTAGGGCATATACAAATACATTTACATAAACAAATTGGCCTACATCTCTTTCTCTCTCACACCAACACAAATTCTCTTAATCTCTCTCATTCATATGAATTTAAGTTTATAACGCATTGAAAAATAGAATATGATGATGCACAAATCGACTTTGCATAAAATAAACAGTCAAGTATATGTAAGAGTGTAATTAATGAGCAATAAATAGGCATTATATGAAAAATAATAGGTCAAGCACACAGATTTATAGTGGTTCGGTCTGGGTGACCTACTCCACTCTCGAGAATGACAGCGGTGGTCGGAGATCTTTATTGATGAATAAAAATATCCAAGTGAGTGCACTCCGGGAGAGTTACAATGCTTTGGGAGAGAGAGAGAAATGTGTATAGAGAGATGTGTGAGGTCTCAATGTCATACCCTCTATTTGTAGAAGACTGATATTATATAGGTATGGTGAAGCGGTGACGTGAGGAAGAGGACTTCTACTATTTTGGTAAGTACAATTATGATAAANCAATGTCATACCCTCTATTTGTAGAAGACTGATATTATATAGGTATGGTGAAGCGGTGACGTGAGGAAGAAGACTTTTACTATTTTGGTAAGTACAATTATGATAAAATTAGATCTTCGTACGTATTCAATATTCTCTCCTCGTGCTCCTATTCTTTCAGGAGGAGGATTCTAAGTTAGGTTAGACTCGAGTCTGAATGGCAAAGTGAGGAGACGTTCCATGGAGACTATGCAGGAGAAGGAGCGTGGAACAAAAGAGAGCAGGGTTTTCTTTGGGGGTGGCCTCCTTGGGCAGTGCTCCCTTTGGGGGTGTCCCACTTGATGACTTGGGCTCCTCTTTGATAACTTGGGTCTGACCCAGTTAATTTCGGATACCAGAATAGACATAAAATAATATAAACCCTCTTTTTTCATTGAAAAAATGACATAGCTATAAAATAGTATATATATAAATTTGTAAATATCTTGGCTTAAAACTTTTGTTTAGGACCCCAATTTCTATTGAGCGGCCCTGCTGTTTATGAAGAAAGATTAAACAAAACCCAAAGCGGTGCGTGCATTGATATGATTCATGTAATTTTATAGAACAATAGGCAGAGGAGAAAATGAGCGGGACCCACTTGACCCATTTTAATTAAGATGTGTTAGAATTGGAAACAAACAATCATTTTTTCTGCTCAAATTTGCTGACATGGCAGCTGCTGAATGGCTATACGAAACCCTTTTTTACTGTTTGATGACAAGGCAATTTTCATGGTCGAAAAATTAACCGAAATTCGAACAAAATTCGTATACTTCTAATTATAATATTCATCTTTTTCCAAGTAAATATTGAATAAAACCGTAATATTATGTCACCATTAGTGATATAATATCACTAATTAACAATAAAATTTTAAATAAGAAAGATAAATTCCACTTAAACTTAAATGATAGGGGGTAAAAAGTTATATACTAACGATAATATCATGTTATCATTAATTTTTGTGGGCTCATCTCTGTTTTGTATTATTGATTAGTAATATTATCTCACCTTAGCATGTGATATCACAGTTGTAATGGATATTTTCTCATCTTTTTCCGCAGAAAACGTACAACTAGTCTCTGGAATTTGTCTAAAATCTACATAACACCCAAATGTTTACACATCAAAAATTCAAAGTCCTATGTACCCAAAAAAAAAAAAAAGCAAAGTTGTTTTTTATTTTTTGATATCCATGCATGCACTGCACCACCCAACCACATAATTTTATACTGTTAGTGTTTCCCAGAGAATGTGTTGTCCTTGGACTTCTAGGCCAGCCTACACCCAATATCGATTCCCATTTCCGGACCAAATAATCCTTACGAACTCACCGGCTCGAAGATATTTCACTGCGAAAGGGTGCCAGCCGTGCGTCATAGAACGCTTCCATCCACCCTTACTGATGCTATGAATTTATATGATCTGGTTTATTCTCCATCGGTTACGAGCATAACCCATTTCCGTCCGGCAAAAACCGTGCACTGTTGGGTACTTCCATGCTGCGACCCACATCCCTATTCGGGAGAGATATTTGAAAGCACACATATTGGGCTCCATTTCCATGTATAAAAAAAAAAGAAAGAAGAATCAATTTGTCATCAAGGAAAAGGCCATAAGAAAATGAATGAGGTCTGTTTCTTTTAGAAAATTCCACTACAACTACAAAATGAACTTTTATTATAGTGAAACAGAAACTGTTTGTCAGAGAGAGACAGAGCCTTCACACCGGAACAGAGATTCTGAGTTCTAGAGAGGGAAATCCTGACATATCTTCCATATATATGCTCTCAGATAGCTGAATATACATGGAATCAATTCAAT